GCAACAATGATGTCACTGTGTAGGATGCCCTGATCCTTAAATAAAAGAAGCACAGAAGCGGAGGACGTGGCACGACCTGGCCAGTTGTTGTTTTGTTCGGTTAGTTCCCAATCATCTATTTGGTGAGAGGCGTTGTAGTCCTGAATGCTGGAGGATGTTTTAGAATGCTCCCTACTATTCTAGTTGACAACAGCATGTGTTTAAACCCTTGGAAGTGTTTTCCACAGAAAGATCTTTGGAACTGGACACACAGGAGCTCCAAGTTCTGGGTGAAGCACTGCTTGGAAAACTGCCACGTGTAGTGAAGTGTTGGGCCCTCCCATTCCTTCACAGACTGTCGAATGACGTGTATGTGTGGCCATCACGTTTGTAAATGTTTGGGGAAGTTCATGACCATTTCTCTTCTTCCTGCCTGGGAAGACACAGGGACCCTTTCTTTTATCTATTATTTGACATAGAGGAAAAGTCACTGTAGAGTCTTCTAAAAATAACTTATTTCTGAGGTGCCAAAGGATCTTAGTGGAAGACGGCTTCATCCTACAAAGAGTTGAAGAAAACGCTGCTTATAATTGCAGAGTTCCTACTTCATAGGGAAAGCTGGGGGTCAGAGCTCTTGCTCATTCTACCACTATGTTTAGCTTCTGAAGAAGCAGTTCTTACTGGATCCCACTGGAGGATATGTACAGAAACCCCTCTGTATAGAAACGTGTGTGTGTGTGTGTGTGTGTGTTGCAGGGAATAGGAGCCCTTTAAAATGCTCAGAGGTTTCTTGCTTAACTGACTTCACACTAAATCATTTCCAGGGCAAGTCTGGATCTCACGTTTTTCCATGGCTGGAGGGCCAGTGTCTGAGAGCAGGCCTGAGGCTTTTAGGTTGCCTGACAGGCCCTGCTCTAAGCTCAGCCTTCCTGACTAAACCTTGAAGGTTGGCCTTTCCCCCAAGGCATCACAGGACTCCCTCTACACAACTAGGCTCCCTAGACAGCGAGGAGAAATTTGTCTCCGACACAGTCAAATCCCAACAACAATTTCCAAAGAAAATTTAATCGTAACATTGAGAAGTGCAGCTTTGTATGCACATTTGGGATGCTGAAGAGTGATAAAGGCCATGCAGGCCTGAACACAGTCACCAGCTGCAGGCGGGGAGCTAATTGTGGGGCACCAGAACCTTCTTTCTGAGGAAGCTGCTGTTTGGAGCTTAGAAAAGTGTAAATGAGTGGAGAGTTGGTCAAGGTGCCCAGTACAGAGCAGCGGCAGGGTTAACCCCAGAATGGATTTGCTGTCATCTCTACCCCAAGCCACGGCACGGCTCATGTTTCCAAATAATTGCAATTTAGAATTCCTGAGTGTTGTGTGGAAAGCCAACAATGTTGTGGCCAAAAGTCATGTTTATCAGATCGTGCTCCTCAGATCAATTCACATTTATTTATAATCAATTTCATGAGAAAGGGTTTATACACAAAAGTTGGTAAAATAGTCTTGAGAGATTTAATAGTTCCTAACCACTGGCACACACACACACACACACACACACACACACACACACACAATTTGTTTCTTATTCTGAAGTTAGCTAGACATTCCATTGAAAACATCTTCATTTTGAGACTGTGTAAAGTCCTGTATACTTAACATCATATAGTCTTATAGTGATCCTAACTTCAATTTAATACTCAAAGGAAGTAGAATTACAAGAAATAGGGGCAGAGGAGATTTTGTTAGCAAAGTACCTGCCCCATTCTCATGAAGACATGAGTTCAGATGCTCAGCACCCTTTAAGGCCTTGCTGTGTCCTGTGATTACAGTGATGGAGAAGTGGAGACAGGAAGATCCCTACATTTGGCTAAGCCTGCAAGTCTAGGTGAGGTAAGATCCAAAGAAGAAAAGATAGTTAGAAATGGAAAGGAATGCAAAAGGAAAAATGTGTTTTTAAAAAGAAAATCTCCAGAGAAATGCTTTAGGCAACAAGAAACAAGGTCACAAAACATTTTGATGTGAGCAACATAAAATAATCTATTACATGGAGACAATGGAAAACCCAGTGGGGATATTATTTACAATGTTCATGTGAAATTGTAACAAACTAGTTGGCCTCAAACATTATTTTATTTAAATTGAGTGGTAGATATTTATCTAAGTGATATCAAAATTACACACATACTTAAAATGATGGAAATAGAATTTTTTCCTAGCTCAGTCATAAATACTTTCCTTGCCATTAAGAGAACCCGAGTTCAGATCCCTCAGAATCCAAATAAACAACCAGGCATGATGGCACACATGTCTGTTACCTAGCAAGACAAGATGGAAGGCAGAGAGAGACAGATCCCGGGAGGCTGACAGCCAGCTAGCCTGGTCCAATTGGGGACTTTCTAGGCCAATGAGCAAGCTTGTCTTAAGCAAAAAGAGGGAGGCATCTGAGGTTCAGCTCCCTCATGTTATCTTCTGACCTCTACATACATCATGTGTATACATGTATGCACACACACCATGTGCATGCATACATGCACGTCACGTACAGATACATACATGCATATCTAGCCAATCACATAATCATCCCTAAACACGCATAGTTTATAGATTAGGATTTTTCTCCCCAGTCAAATAGAGATGTCTGTATAGAAAGCAGAACTATTTTTCTACCAGGGAAGCAACTAGCTAATCTGTTAGTGACTCAGTGGTCCGTTGACATGAAAGCAAAACATACCATTCAGAAGTCCTAAAATTTTGCTTAATGATATCAGTCTTTAGGCTAATTTGATTTCATCAAATCTTTCCACATGAACTACCTGAAACTATCACTTCTATGTGTAATTCAGTGTGTTCACAAATGAAGTCTGTAAGCTGAACACCTGACTTGGTGGTCTCAGCAGCAGGCTGCCATCAGACATCAAGGGCAGGCAGCTGTTCGAGCAGGAACTGAGAGACCACACAGTGCACACAAAACACCAACATGATCCTTGAAGGAAACCGAGGAAAGCAACAGTAGGCACATATCGCCAACTTTAATTTTCCCTTTTGTTTTTTGATGTGCAGTGAAGATCAGTTGCCTCCATCTCCTAGGTGACTGGCCCCCATATGTACTGGAGAGCCCACAAAGGTTCCACTCAAAGAGTCCAAGCAAACTGTGCAGCATGGCTCGAGATTTGCCTGAAATGCAGTATTAGAATAAAACATAGAAGATATTTCTTAGATTGGCTTCTTGTTATATAGCTATAAATGAGCCCATGAATATATAGATTTTTGAAAGCAGTTCATGGACAGATACAAAATTTTTCTTTTCCAGAACTATTTTTTCCTCACCAACATGTGTCACATAATTTCTCTAAGCATCTAATTTAAAAAGTCATGACCTAAAACATACTTAGATGTAAGGAAAATATACATATAGACATACAAACACATATACTTTGATATATCACCAAGTATATCTGGAAATTAGAAAACAGCAAAAAACAAACACAATTCTACTGGGCTATAATATAAACAGTGTGTGTATGTGTGTGTGTGTAGATTTACTCATGTGTGTGTCCCTGTATGTTTGTGTAGGTCAGAGGTTGGTGTCGGGTGTCTTCAACAATGCTTGCAACCTTAGTTTTCAGACAGAGTCTCTCACTGAACCTGAAACTTTCCCGTTTGACTAGACTGGCTAGCCAGAAAACCCTGGCATCGTCTCAATCTTCTCATCTCTACCTCCTAGCACTGGAATGACTGGTGCAAGACACCAAGCTTAACTTTCATGCAGATTCTGAAGCCTCAAATCCGGGTACTTGTGCTTGTATAACAAGAGCTTTACCGACTGGAAAATCTTCCCAGGGCCTTATATAATATCTTAACCTTCATTGGGTACTAAAAGTTGTTAATAATGAAAATAATAGCGATCATAATAATTTTATACATGAAATTAAGAGTGTTCACTTAGGTATGTTTCTGCTTGTGTTTTCTATAAATTGTCTTACTGCATTTTACTGGCCACTCTATAGGGGACTTACCACTATTTTCATTTTAGAAATGAAAGTTGCAGAAGCTAAATAGGCTAATTAGTAGCACAGAGAGCCAAGTAGGCACTGTGACGGTCATTCTGCATTAAGTCATCAGGGGTCAATCTTAGCAGGCTAGTTCTGAGAAGAGACATGGATTTGTGGCAAGTTATAGGGAGCAGCATGTGGATGGAGCAGGATGGAGAAAAAAAGGAGAGAGACAAAGAGAGGGAGGGAGGGAGGGAGGGAGGGAGGGAAAGAGGGAGGGGAGAAAGAGAGAAAAAGGGAGTGAGGGAGAGAGAGAGGGAAGGACGGAGAAAGAGCGAGACGGTGAAAGGCTGGCACAAGAGCGAGACGGTGAAAGGCTGGCACACTGTGTTGGCTGGTGTGAGCAAAGACAACAGAGGGACTTCTGAAGTCGAATTTCAGAGATGTCTGTGTAACATTACATTCTGTAAAGAGCACAAAGACAAGGTCTGTTTATTAACACAAGGAGAGAAGTGTCTCCCAGACACTTGAAGTATATTAATAAAGATAAGTGGGAAGAGCTATGTATTTTTTCTGTTCTTCACACTCATAGTGACATTATCCAGAGTCTGAATCAGACATGACTGGGGATACAAGTAATACTGACATAGTAGAAGAAGCTTTTATAAAAATAAGTACACACACACACACACACACACACATAATCATTATGATGAATGATAGTATACTAGTATTATACCAGCTGTGAGGTAATATATAGAAGACATCCAATTTTTAAATAGAACTAAAAAGCACATATTTTGAAGCAGAATGGAACATTTTCTTTATCAGATACATCGGTTAGTTTCTGGAGAAATCTGATGGAGAAAAAAGCATCAAAATACTCATGTATAAATAATAAGGCAGCATCAGTATAAAAAGGGGTCGAATTAAATTTAAAAGTATTTGTTTCACTAACTTAGAGAAATTGATGCATTTTCTTCACCATGGTATGCAATGGTACTTTTTAGATAAAAAAAAAATCCAACTTACTAAAGATTTATCTGGATAGACCCCAGCTCTTAGCAGAGATGCCTTCCAGCTGTCCACATCCTCCTGGGAATCACAGGCCAGCTCCAGGAAACGATAGTCTTTGTATACATTCCTAGAGTTTAAAAAAAATACATGCATTTAGCTATGAACCAAATTCAAAATGATCTCAGAGCTGCAGACACCGATGACAGTTCCAAAGGTTAGTTCCCTGAAAAGCGCTGGACGCGAGCACAAGCTGCTCACTGTATTTTAAAATAACGAGCGAGCTCCGATGCGTACTTCTCAGAGGATTCTTTTTAATAAACCATACAGGGAAGATCTCACAGTTATTTACAGTGCTGAGATTTAAACTAAAGAGCCTGTAGAAAGGGGATATCAATTTTTAAATAAAGTTACAATCTTCCTTTTGCTTCAAGAGTGCAGAGGAAGGAGCTCAATGGGGGGACAGTTACCTAGCAGGGGTGAGACCCTGTGTTCCATTCCTAGCTCCACAACACTGGGGATATGTGCTGACGGGCACTGTGCTCTGGAGAAATCACTTGCCACTGTCCAGTAATTAGGTCAGTTTTCTTCCTATATAATAGCTTATAAAACTTGGAAAAGTATAATAATAATTCTATAAATCTAAAAACAAAACAAAAACCTACAACTTGGCTATATTCAGAAACAGATACTCCTCTTGGTGTGAAAAGCCTGGTCACTTGTACTGAGAGGTGAGGTGCCTCTTGGTGTCAATTATAACCAGGACAACGCTGGAGTTTTCTATTTTCTTCCAGATAATAAAATGACACATAGTATGTAATGAATACCAACACTAGAAATTTGGAAACGAGACAAAAGAACAAAAATAAGGATAACCAAGCATGTTCCACTGCTCATAGATAACCTTGTTTTCTTATAATTTTCCATTCTGACCATTTTTGATAGTGCTGAGGTTCCCTCCTCCTCCTGTCTGCTCTAGCGCTTTTAGTCCCATAGCGCTGGGGTCTCCAGAATGCCGGGGTCTCCAGAATGCCGGGGTCTCCAGAATGCTGGGACTCCTGTTGCAACTGGGCTGCTCTTTCAACAATACTCTCTCCTGGGCTCTCTTCACAGGGCCAAGCCTCAACTCTCTGCATGACCCCTTCAATCCAGGGCTTCAGCGGCTACTGAGTCTGTACCTTCGGCCATGGCTTGCCTTGGTCTCTCTCAGTGCCAAGCCTCAGCTGCTCTCCATGACCCCTTCATGCCTTCAAAACTATACCAGCCAAGAGATTCTTAACAAGGTCAGCTGTCAGCACAAGGTACAACCTTGGCCACCTCTTGAACACAACTTCTGTGTGCTGACCCAGAGGAAATACTTCCCAGAAGATTTCACCTCAGTGATGCTGGTTTCTTCTTAATCATCACTAATTTCTCAGTTCCGGCTGGCCAGCATCAATTGTCCCAGTAAAGCAAAGGTTTTATTGGTCTCTTGTTATTAGTGGCCTATTCCTCTGCCCCAGCTGACCAGATCCACAGATTCTTAATTTAAAAATCAAAAGTCCCCAATAGAGACTTTGCTTGCTTCTGAAACAGCAGTTCTCAACCCGTGGGTCACATATCCTTCAGATCAGATATTTATGATTTATAATAGTAGCAAAATTATAGTTTTGAAGTGGCAATGAAATTTTATGGTTGGGGTCACCACAGTATGAGGAACTGTGTTAAAGGGTTGCAGCATCAGGAAGGTTGAGGACCATTGACCTAGAACATCACAAGCTAGGCCCGCCATCACCTGCACTGCCCTCAGCACCATCCTCTAATCCTCCAGGCCAGGTTTGAACAGCTCACTGGGCTGTTGAAAAAGCCATTGAAAACCCAATGACCTTTCTAGCCTAAAGTTCCAAAGTCCCTCTACAATCCTCCCGAAAACAACATGATCATGTCTATCACAGCAGTTCCCCACAGTCCTGTTACCAATTTCTGTCAAAGGATTTCTGTAACTGTGATGAAACACCATGACCAAAAGCAACGTGGGGAGGGAGGGCTTTATTTCACTTACACTCCAGGTAATAGCTCATCACTGAAAGTAGTTCAGGTATGACGAGACAGAGCTGATGCAGAAGGCATGGAAGAACACTGTTTACTGGTTTCTTCCCTATGGCTTCCTCGGCCTACTTTCTTATAGAACCCAGGAATAACCTCACCCACAATGGCCTGGGCCCTCCCCTACTAATCGCTAATTAAGAAAATGCCCTATAGGCTTGCCCAGAGTCTGATCTCATGGAGGCAATTTCTCAACTTCGGTCAGATGACTCCAGCTTGTGTCAAGTTGACATGAAACTCCCCAGCACATGCTCTATTCATTTCACGTCCCTCTTTTTCACTTACTGCTACATCACGGTCATTTATATGCCATAAAGTCTTGAGAAACAGAAAATTATGATGGCATAGCATTCATCAGTATAAATGTATAATGATTTACTGAACCTTCTAGAGTAATGAAATAATTTCATCTTTGCTTTGGCCAACGTAAATGGCATGTCGCCCATGACTGGCACATTTAATGCTGTTGCTTTTTTTTTTTTTTAAGATTTCTATAGTTACAGAATGAAAATTTATGATTACTTGATGGATAGTTGGGGATATTACTGTCATGTTTTCAGAAAAAAAAATAGTTCAATTTCAATGGATAAAAGCAGTATTTTTCTTTTCTGCTTACTCCTGTTTGACATGTTTTCATTTGGGCTTAGCAGTCCCATTTCCACTAAGCCCAGAAGGCAGTCAAGTTTGAGTCTTCTGTCCAGACCTTGCCTCGAGTCTTACAGGTAGAGTCACACAGCTTCTCCACTTGAGTATCTCACGGAAACAAACAGCAATGTGAGCAACTGGTGACTTTCAGCTCGCCTTTCTCCCCCGCTCCCTATTCCAGGCAGCTGTGGTGTAACCCAGAGATGACATGGATAATTTTGAAATCTACACACTGCACTTCCATCTTACCACCAAGGAGTTCCTTCCTTTGACACGAGCCACCACCTCACCATTAGCTGTCTTCTGAACTATTACATCAGGCTCCTCGCTGGTCTCCCCGCAACACACTGCCCTTTCCATTGGTTCTATGCACTCCATCCTTACGGCCTCCTGAAAACGTGGCTCTGTTATTTTACTCTAGTGATTGTATGCATTTGCGAATAAAGACTCCAGGTGGTGTCTTAGGGTTTTATTGCTCTGAAAAGACACCACGACCACAGCAATGATTCTAAAAGAAAGCACTTGATTGTGACCGGCTTACAGTTAGGAGGGTTCATCCAGTGAGATCACGGTGGGAAGTATGGCAGCACACAGGAAGACTTGGTACTAGAAAAGGAGCTGAGAGGTCCACATTTGGATCCTGGATTAGCAGGCTGCAGCAGGAAGAGCAAGTGAACTTGAGTTTCTGAAACCTCAAAGCCTGCCCTTAGTGACACACTTCCTCCAACAAGGCCACACCCAGTCCAACGAGGTCACACCTGCTAATAGTGCCACTCCCTATGAGCCTATGGGGGCCATTTTCATTCGAATCACCACAGCTGGTATGCTGGCTCACAAAGTCTGACTTCCAGCGGGCACTTGCCTTCATCCCTGGTGTCTTTGACACTTTGTTCTTCCCTCCCTAGCTACCACACCTCTTGAGGTTTCTGGAAAGTGTCAGGTGTGCTGGGCCTACAAATGCAGCTGCAGGTACTGCTTTCTGTCCAGAATTCTTCACACAGCAGTTGCTCCTTACTGAGGGGGAGGGGTGGTCTCAGCTCAGTCATCATGTCCACAGACATCACTTCTACAACATCCCTACCAAGTCAGCTTCTTTTTCCACACTTCTACTCCACCTTATCTTCTTCCCGTCTCTTATCAAGGCTCCAATTTCAGAATTGCACATCTTTTCTCTGTCTTCTGCTCTTTCCTTCCCGCCTGCTTCCCTCCTCCCTATAATCCCTCATATATACTCTGCTATTTATTCTGATGACCGTCTGTCTGCTCTTCCATGCAGCCGGTACACATCATGAAGACAGTGAGTGCACCACGTTTATGCTCATCATTCCATCCCCCAGAGGAGTTTGAAAAGGTGGTGGCTTAATTTTACTCTCTCTCCTCTACACTGTCCTCTTAAGACAAGTATCACCTCTTTTCTCAAGTCAAGCCAATATTAGGACTGGTGCACGGGCATAGAATGGCGTGAGTGAGAGTGTTTCCTCACTCCGGATGAAAAAGAGCTTTGTGCCCAGGGCAGGGCTCCAGGACAAGCAGCATGCAGCAGACCATTTGGAGTATCATCCTTTCATGATGTCAGAACTGTCCAATGGGCCTTATCCGCTGCTCCTGAGCACCTAGGCTTGCAGAGCAAGGTTTCTCTACTCCAATGAAGAAGAAAGTGTCCCCCCCCCCCCATGCCTCCATAGATAAATAGCAAGTGGACTGTTTCTCATCCTTGGTGACTATGATGTTGTCTCTGAGTTCACTCAAAGCACCCACAGCTGAACCTATGCCACAATGAACAAAGGAACTCACAGGCACAAAAAAATCAAACCAGCCAGAGAAAGAAAGAGAGAAGACTTTTGGAAAGCCGAAAACAGGACAACAAGGGCTTGGCAATGTACATGGACAGATTTCCTGGAACGGAAATGATTGATCTCTGTTGAGATTAGAATTTGCAGTTTTGAAGATCTAGTGATAGAAACAACCTAAGCGTCCTTCAATTGATGAATGGAGAATGAAAAATTTGTATATATACACAATGGAGTATTATTCAAAAGATAACGAAGACATGAAACTTGTGGGAAAATGGACAGAACTAGAAAATATTATACTGACGTAACACAGATCCAGAAAGCCAAGCATGGCAGTTTCTCTTATTTGTGGATCTTATCTATGCATCTTTATCTATGCATCTATATATATATCTCACTTGTAGTAACTAGAGATACCAGGAAAGTCAAAAGGGACCATGGGGTGAGGGTGGCAGCTCTAGAGATAGAAACAGTAGCATGTGGTGCTATGACAGGCAGAAACAGAAAAGATGGGGTGGAAGACTTGATGGGGAAGGGAGTGCAACACAGAGGGAGAAAAGGGGAGATGGGATAGAGAACACTTAGGATGTTCAGAAAAATACTTTCT